AAAGAAGTTAAGATTAAATATTTTATTAAATATGCTTCTGTGTTTTGCTATAAAAGATGTCAGAGAAAAAAGGCTTAAGGAAACAAGCCTTCCAATGCATTTGTAAAGTTTTGCTGAGTCTTTAATTTTTAATGCTTCCTGTATACAAGATGAAGAAGAAACGAGATAAACAGAACTATCCCAGCTTGTACTTTGTTCAGGAAAATATCAACCTGGCAGGTACAAGAAAAACAACTGACACCAATGAATAATCTGTCCTCACCACTCCCATATAAGCCACTCATGCAGACTCTCCATCCTAAGGAGCGAAATGATCAAATATCAAATGCCGTAAGTCCCTCTAAAAATCCTCAGATACGTGTTTCCCTTCCTTGTGGAAGGATGAAACACAAGAGACCAGTACCAGAACAGAAGGGCTGTAGCTTCCCTGGCATCCTTTGGTAAGATGTCTTTTGTATTAAAAGTATGTTGCTTGCAAATGCAACTCAGTGTTTTCCCTGCTGAAAGATGTTCCTTGCTATATCTATTTCTCTGCATTTTTAGCTTAGCACCTTCCCTTGAAGCGACGGAGCATGAACCGCACCTACACCACCGAGGGCTTCCTGTCTTCCCAGGTGCTGTTTAGTGTGGATAGCCTGGAGGGATCTGGCCCCAGAACAGTGAAAGGAAATCTGGTTTCGAAGTTTCTTGAACCTGCTAACACACTGGAACATTTTCTCCCATCGATGACTCAATATTTTCACTTTCAGATAGCACTGGACTGGGAGACCAGAGAAAAGCTCAGTTCAGGAAAGGTGTGCTGACAACCCTTTCAAACCACAGAGGGCAATAAAGTACACGGAAATTATGCTGCAATTAACTTGCAGGAGTCAGTTATCTGCTAATCTGTTGGGTTAAAAATATCTACACATGGAAATAATTTGGAGTGATGGGGACAATTTGGTTGATCTTGATTTAAATCCAGGAGTCCGTAGCCAAGCCAAACTCCAGTTGGTCTTGGTGAGAGACCTTTCTGACTAAAGGCTGAACAGGCTGGGAATATTTGTAAACAAAACCCAAGGTATTTGTTCATTAATGCATGTGATTTTCAGAACTGAAACAAGACAGCATGAAGAGTCAAATCTGTTTCATGTGCAAAAGCTACTTGGTACACACTTTTGTACTAGATTTACAGATATGAGTCAAATAATGCCACACACTTTGGTGTTATCAAACTTAGATTAACGTACACCAAAAAGTAAAGAAAAGTACATTAAACTACATTTAGGGTTTTTTTTAAATTTCTAGTTCTGTTTATATCTGGAATAAGGAAGGTTTGCAGATTAGGTATTTAGATTTTTCAGACATTCTAATGCACTGTTCAGCTTTTCGTTGAAGACTGACACATCTTCCTTCTCCGGGGTTTCCTTGGAAACTGAAGCTGAACATTTTTTCTAGGGCTCCCATTCCACAGCTGCATCTCGTGCGAAGTACCTACTGAGTACGGGCATCATGAATTGGTAGGAAAGCAGGGATTTTCTATAGGAAGGACTGAGTGGTGATTGTTTATCTGACTCTAAACTGCATAAATAAAATGAATGAAGTACCAAGTTGCTCCTTTCCCCCCCAGATATTTAAGACTGAATGAGCTGCCTACCTGAAGTGGCATGCACTCTGGGCAAGTTTAGCAGAGTGGTAGTTTGAGGCACTGAGCTTTCTCCAATCCACAAAAAGTCAGAGGGGATGGAAAGCTCATGGCAACCCTGAGGACTGGGTCTGTAGTCAGGACCATGCTCTTCAGGGTGGAGTTCAGGTTCAGTCTGAGACGTTTTTACTTTTGGTTTTTAATAGGAGAATTTGGTCCTTGGAAATTTGGTCCTGTCATTGGAAACTGACTCAGCCGCTGTAGATACACCATGTCTTTGTAGCTCTCAAAATGTAGGTCTTCATTTCTGGGCTTTTTTTTCTATATATGAATTTTCCAACTAGATAATGGCTTAGAAAATTGTAATAAATGCTCCCATTACTCATTGACTATTTAAGGGACTAGGTGGCTGCAATGGCAGAGCAATGACAAAGTTTTATCTTGCACTAGGAGGGGAAACTCAAACCTTGCTCTGCATACATGCCAATGGCCATTCATAACCAAACCACCCATTTCTGAGTACCTGCTTGTTTGAGCTGCGAAGTCAACTTGAGCTAGGAGCTACATCACATCTGTGTGTGTCACTGGTGATGAACATCATTTATCCATGCTATCTCAATATGCTAACTAGCTTTTGCTCCACCTCCAGCTCTGATTTTAGGTGGATATATTGCAGATTTTAGACTTCAAGAAAAGCTTGCACTGTTTAAGATGGAAAGTTTATTATTTGCACTCCAATGATTTATCAGGTAGTCAGGTCACATAACCTATCTGTTTCCTGAGAACTGAGTTCCTGTTGTGGATAATCCCAAGTTTGAATTGAGAATTTAATTTCCATACAAAGCTGTAGTTGCTGGGCATATCCTTGGCAGAAAGCTCTATTTTAGAATATTTGAGGACACATTTTTTGTTTGACTGTGTTCACACACTGTGTCTTCTAATGGGAATTAAAAGTATTTTTTCCAGTGTTAGCCTTGCTCTAGTTCTGCCACCTCTAACGAATAGTCAGTTGGGATATTCCTGAAAGAGAGAAACCCCATTAAGCTTGAATCTGCAGTCAGGAAAATAAAATTCAAAGAAATTGTGGTGTGGTTTTTTTTTTTTTAGATGGGTTCTTCAAGCAGACAAATGAAACACTTACTAATATTCCAGATTTTCTTATCCATTTTCTAGGCAGGCCAGGGCTTACTTCTTACAACTCTGATTAGTCTACTGGGACTCCTCCTCTGTAATTAACTTCTGAAGTAATTCTTAAATGCCGTGTTCTATTTACTTCCAGTAGTTATCAGATGACATGTCCTGCCCTTTAGCAGTAGTTTATACACATGGCTAATTTTTTTAAAAATTATGCATGGCTAGAATAAACTAATCTGTTGCTTTTCAGTGTCCAGCCCAATGAGGCAGTGAGTCAATGCACATTCACTTCATTAGGAGTGGAAGATGCACAGCATGAACAGAGAGACATTCAGCTTACTGGCTCAAGCTCTAAAAAAATAAGCTACACTTTCAGGTTTTTATTTTGGCAGTTCGTGTAAAATGTATGAGTACTGCACTCTTGCAAACACCTGAATGCCAAAGATAACAGCTTTGCTAGAGAAGCACAGCTTTCTCCCCATCGATCTCTCAATTGAATGACTGAAAAAATCAGGTTTTCTTCCTCTCATGGGATCTTACTGAATAGTTTTGGCTGAAATTTCTGTTGTTGACGGCTTGCCTTCTAGTGAGTAGCCTTGTGGTGTGGGTCTGGGGTTGGGTTTGGAGGATCTAGGTTCACTTCTTTCCCTGGTTTGTGCTTTCCCTCACCTTTTGAAGCTGTTCCACCTTGCACAGAGTATTTAATTGTTCAGCCAGGGAAAAGGAGCATATTACCCAATGTCTTGATGCACTTTTGATCAGACATCGAGCTGGGATGTGGTATGAACGAGCAGGTATGAACATACGAGCAGGTATGACCATAATGAATTGAGTCCCAAGTGGATCGGCCGCCTAGCATGTCCTGCAGCATGGCTACATCCCCCGTCAGATGGATGGATGGAGAAACCGAGCCTCTCCTGAGAAACATCTCCTCCCTCCGGGGTGAATGCCCCCTCACTGTACCGGTGGGCAACAGCCCTAACACCTCCTCTTTGCTGCCTCTGAGAGTGCTGTTTTTGTTTAAAATGCCTGAAATGGAAATGAAATCTTGCTCTCGGTCAGGATGTTTCACTCAACCCAAATTTCTATGTCTTCTGTTGTTACAATCAGAAATACTTTCAAGTGATTTACATTGGCCAGTTATATTTCGGGACTAAGTACTTGGGATGCACAGCCGCTGCCTACAGGGTGGTTTTATAATCATAAAAGTACGGGGGTTCAGCTTCAGGGAACACGGAGAGAGATATTACAGCCCTTTTTAATCTTTTTAAACTATCCTGGAATCTACATTTAACAATAACATAAATACGACCCCCAGTATATCTCCAGATGACTCTTGCCTACCTAATTTAATGGTACTCATTAATATAGTTTAAGTCATTAGCACCTTTTACTAACATGTTTTCTACTTCAAAAATTTGGATTATTTTTTCAAATTCAGACTATTTTCAAATGTTGATATGCTGATAATACCCACATTTGGCATGGGACATGGAACCCTCTCTTGGTACGACAATATGAAGAACATTCTTCAGATCATTTGCAAAGACCATTTTGTTTATATCCAAAGTGTAATACTTTGCAGACAGAGCTTTACAGCTTTGATACTCAACTGTTTTGACAAGCCTTTTCCTACTGGACTTTTGCTACATACATGTATATGTGGAAGAACTTAAATACGTATTAGTAACTTTATCTAGATAAGAAAAATACTGGATACATTTTTTAATCTTTTTAAACTATCCTGGAATCTACATTTAACAATAACATAAATACGACCCCCAGTATATCTCCAGATGACTCTTGCCTACCTAATTTAATGGTACTCATTAATATAGTTTAAGTCATTAGCACCTTTTACTAACATGTTTTCTACTTCAAAAATTTGGATTATTTTTTCAAATTCAGACTATTTTCAAATGTTGATATGCTGATAATACCCACATTTGGCATGGGACATGGAACCCTCTCTTGGTACGACAATATGAAGAACATTCTTCAGATCATTTGCAAAGACCATTTTGTTTATATCCAAAGTGTAATACTTTGCAGACAGAGCTTTACAGCTTTGATACTCAACTGTTTTGACAAGCCTTTTCCTACTGGACTTTTGCTACATACATGTATATGTGGAAGAACTTAAATACGAATTAGTAACTTTATCTAGATAAGAAAAATACTGGATACATGTTCAAATAAACAAAATATACAATGTAACAAAAATTTCACAATTTTTACTTACTTTCTTTGTTTTGTCCATTGCCTTCAGTATGGTTATGTTTAAGTCTTCCAAGACAGATAGAACATTTTCATACTCTCCTAAGTGCTGGGAAAAATATTCTAAAAGAAGAAGAAAACCCACGTCACGTATTCATGACCTGAAAAAATCAATATTTCATTAAATATCAATTTTATCAAGTCTGAATTCAGTTATGGTATTATTAACTATCTAAATATATAAAATTACAAGAGTTACAATGAAAGGGATGATTTTATTTTTAAATTTTGTATTATGTCCCTCAAAATCATTCCCAGAGTACTTAAAATACCAAAATCAGTGTTTCAAAACATTTTCTTTCAATAAATGGGTTGCCAAATTGACAAAAATTTAAAATATCAGTTTGAGAGCTGAAAGAGACCTACTTTCAAAATATCTACATTTTCTTTCTAAACTAGATTTTCAGTTTAATAGTCTACTTTTATAGTTACTAGCAGCAAATGAAGTTTTCATGTGTATGTACTAAATCTGATTATATTGCTACAAAAATGAATAACATTGATAAAGCTCTTAGAGGAGATAAAATCAAGTGGGGGCTGTTGTGAGTCGGGGTCAGTTGTTTCTCTCTGAGAAGCGAAGAGACCATGAGTTGGCCAGATAAGCCTCTAGTCCCAGGTACTGTGATTACATTTTCAACAAATATGATGCATACAAAAGACTTTTAAGAAAAATCATGGAAATAACGTAAGTTGCAGGATGTCCTTGCAGCTGCTCAAAGCAAAGGACATTTCAACAGAAAGAACTGATGTAAAATCAGGGGACATAATTCAATCAGAGGGATTACAGGAGGAGGCAGAGAGGAGGAGGCAACCCTGGGAAATCATGACCTGAGTTCCCATTTGGTCAATGCGGCAAAATACAATAGAGGGAGGCACAGGAAGGAAAAGTGTGAAAAAGAAAGAAAGAAAATGATGTTAAAGCTAGAGACTGTGTTAGACAAGGCATTTAGACATCAGATCACCTGGAAGAGTATGAAAAACAACATCTAAATGGCAGACAGGAAGAACAAGATTAGATAGGAGCTTTTTGAAATAATAAATAGCTATACTTTGAGGCTTTTAAGAGGTCAACGTGAGCTTCTCAAGGGAGTCATGAAAGCATAAGGTTTCAGGAGCACTGCCACATAATCTGGTATTGCCGAGAGGTTGAATGAAATGATTTAGAATGAAAACGTATTGTGAATTAGTATCCTGGAAGTGAAGCTTCATTTCTGAGGACAACTGAGAGAACTCAGAAAGAGCTGTATAATCACTAGCTTAAACACGTGTTGAGTAAATTCAGTACCAGATTCACAGATGAGAAACACCCTAGTGGCAACCTATGAAAGATTTAAAAGGCAGCTGAAGCAGCCCATATTTAATCAAAACAGACAGTAAACAGAGCCAGTGCCTGGCTGAGATCCTCCTCAGCCATCTGGCCAGCCTGAGGTGGCTGGTGGGGTCAGGTGCTGAGCAAATCCGTAAGCCTCCAGTGCAATATTAACAGCAGTAAATCTCTTGTGGAACAATCCCCCCTGTCTTCCTTGGCCAGTTTTCTATAATTTTGGCCAGATTCTCAACCAGCAGAAGTTGTCACAGCCCAGTTCACTTCAGCTGAGTCTCTTCTCATATATTTATAAGCCACAGGCTGAGGTGCCCCTCAGTGGGTAGAGTTATCTTGTGGGTGAGTAAATGACCTAGCATTCAACTTGACAGGGTTTTCAGCTTTTATAGGTCTTCAACATTGTTGACCATTGGAAAATTTATCAGGTTACCATTTGCTGACATCTTTCCCTCAGAAATAGGCTGGTTTTGATAAGTATACCTATTTTTTTGGCATTTTGTGGGAGACCTTGCAGAGATTTTCTGTGAACTGTTTTCTGCTGCAAGCAGCACTCCTAAACCAGGTGCTATAAGATCAGCTGGAGAACAAACAGGGTTTTGGGGAAATGACTCACAGCCCAGAATGGGGCACAGAAATGTGTAACTGGGCCATATTCTAGGCCTTGCAGGAGTTTTTTGTGATGAAGGATGATAGGAATTTTCAAACTGCTGTTCTCACTGGCTCAAGTTGGAGGAAAGTAATGAACTTTCCTCCAGTGGGGTACTAATATGACAATCTCTTTCAAAATTGCCAAAGCACTCATACCTCTGAAAATGATGAACTAGCTAGAAAAAATATCTCACATGAAAGGGAAATAAGATAAAAGGTATCTATCTATCTTTACATCAGAACAGATCTCGAAGCTCAGAGAATGTGAAGTATCGATTAAGAAAAGTATTTTCAAAGTAATTTCTGCATGTAATGGATGACAGTCTGAAAGTTTATAAGCCATTTGCATTCTCCCAGGAGTTCTTTCAATGGAAATTATTTTCTGTTTGAGCTACAAAGATTAAACAGAAAAAAAAATTCGTATCACATGGTATGTTCACTTGCACAGGGCTGCTGCAGGCACAGATTATCTCCTTGCCGAAAAAAGGAACTTACTGCAGAGTTCTTCTGTGTCAAGATTGCTGCAAAGATAAGAGGATAGATGGTTAGCGAGCTTAGTAATGTTTCTTGTTGGATTGGTAAACAGTAGGACTCAATATTAGCTTGACTGGGATATGAAGCCTTTCTGCCTGGGCTGTAGCAGGGGATGTGGGTGCCTGGCCCTTGCTGGCCTTGCTCCGCTGCCTTAGGGAGGCTTGTCCTAAGCTGGAGGCTGTAGCTGTGCTGTAGCTGGCTGCAGGCGCAGCCTCCCTTCCTGATAATGTTCCCACTGGCACCTTCCTACTCACGGGCAGGCCCCTCTGAAGTTCCTTACCTAGCCTTGGGGTGTCACGGTGCAGAGTCACTGCTCCTCAGGCTTTACACACTTGGTCCTAATGCTAAACACCAGAAACTGCATGGGTGTTTTTTCCACACCTTTCTGCCTGTACTCCTCTTCTGTGGCTGTCATGCTGGACAGCATGGCTCAGAGAGCTTGGCCCTCCATGCTAAATGAGGCGAAAACCCAACAGATTTCTCCTGTTTGCAATCTTCACCGGGCAGTAGCACTCCGGAGGAGAGACAGTACAGCAGGAGGCTAAAACCAGACATAGCCCATCAGCACACATAGTTTCTAAGTCTTTCTGGCCATACAAGACTGTTTCACCAGTACTAACTTCAGCAAAATTAGTGATGTGAAAAGAATAGCTGTATTGCCATATTCCCATATAAATACATAAGTGTATGCAAGTATTCCATACAATTCAAAACTGTTCATTTCAAACAGATTTCATCTTGATCAACTCTTAAGCAGTATTTTCTCTGAGGCTTTAATAGTCAAAAGATAGACCATTTGACCTACAGCTCAATTCTGAAAGTTAGCATATTGACTTTCTTCCAAGGAGGAGAAGAAACTGATTAATAAGAAACTCAAAAGCATGAATGTCCTTTTTTAATCTTGCTGAGGGGTGAATATTGAACGGCTGATTGCACTTAAGGTTTTTTCACTTATCTTTTTAATGGGATTTTTTTATTGACCTTTTAATAAAATGATGACACAGTATTATCTTAAAGTCACTTTCACCAATGCTAACTTCCATACACCTAGCTTTTATTTCATGAGAGAGAGAGAAACAGACAGAAATTGCATGATCCTAGGTTGTCACAAACTTGCATACTCAGGGCTATAAAAACTTCTGAACACTTTTAATTGATGATGTAAATGAGATTTTCCCACAACTTTTATTAACTAAAGGTGACCTGATCTGCATCTGAATGGGCCAAGTTGGACGGCTGCAAATGGGTCTTGCATCTGATTTTTCCAATGAACTTGGTGGCAGGTACAAAGACATTTGTAGTAAGAATTGGTGCTGACGCTGAGAAACTTAACTCTTAGGTCAACAGACGTTCAATCCTTGAATGCAAACTGAAACCCTGAAAGCTGGAGTTGCCCGAGTCGAAAAGCAGTGACAGAATATGATGATGTTAAATGACAGGAGTTTGCTGTTATGATGCCTACTCTTTGTTCATTGTCCCTGCATTTTTTGCCCCTTCACATCATCTGCCCTATTGCCTTCTCTTTGTAAAAGACATTTCTGCATTTCTTAATGTACAGCTTGATAACTGTGTTTAAAACAGCCTTTTACATTGTTAGCCAGTCAAATTCATGCTCACTTTTCAAATTTCACGTTAAAATCCATTCTGGTCCTTGTTCTTCTGCAGTATCCTCAGCAGTGTGGTAGCAATATAGCAAGGGAGTGGCTCAGAGGCTTTCAGCATTGCTGTCATCAGAACATCACTGTTAGTCCTATTGACAGGAGCGATGCAGCCACAAATGGATGAGTAAAAATGGAAAAGTATTTGGGTGCTGAATTCATTTTCAGTTAGAATTGGACACCTGAATAACAAGAAAATTATTGTCTAAAGTGGTTTGTGCAGCAGCTTTCAGGAAGCCTGTGACAGAACATAGAAATGACATAGAGTGTGGATTTCAGTCTAGCATAGTCATAGTATTTCCTTCTCTATTATAAATACCCTCTAAGGCTCCATTGTTCTTGGCATCCTATTTGAAGGGGATGCTGTTCTAGGCAGGGAAACTATGATTTTGTGTCACTGATTATTCCATTCTCTCAGAAATAATAACATGCTGCTTCAAACACAGTCATGAACAAACCTAGAAATTCTTTTTCTGTATACAAACAATTTTGAGCTCCCTGCAGGATGCTACAGAAGCAATTAAAGAAGTTTGGAATATATTTAATAGTACAGGAGTGAGGTGCACACCAGAGGGCTGTCTCTGCAACTCAATACTCAGGTTTATCACGGGCATCTGTTCATCATTTCAGTGGGTACGTATGCCAAGGATGCTTCTGCTTAGACCTATAATCTGGCAATGCTGAACATGTTATTTGCAAGATTTGCTGGATGACTCACATCCAGGCACCAGCACTCCACTCCTGATAAGCACCCAAAGCATAGGGTGCAGCCAAATGCATTCATGTCGTGTCAGCACGATCATTTTTTAAACTTCTGCTCTCAATTTGCTTTCTGACTACTAAATGCAGTCCTTTTACATGTCTGACTTTGTCTAAAATGTTCTCTACCTAATAACATGAGCTATTTTTAAAGGACTATTACAAATATTCCACTGAGCAGTCCTGATCACTGCAAAGTTGATCATACCTGTTGCTCAGTGACAGAAACATAAGTAAATTCACTTGAATGAACTGTGGCAAAAGGGCCTATTTGTGGTACCTCTGGAAGTGGCCCAAAATGTAGGAGTGGAAAGGAGCTGTGATCACGCTCTTGTTCTGCCCACCACAGTCAGCTGTGACCGGGGCCAGCCAGGAAGGAGGGAAGGTTAAAGCTATTCCACCCATCCACTGGTGTGAATCCACCGATCCACAGCCCCATCCACTGACCTGACACATACCATTCTCTGGGACAAAAGGCACCTCTAGGCAAAGGTACCAGCAGAATATCTGCATATATTCCCTGGACCACAAGAAGAGGCAATGACATCTCTTCAGTACAGGAATTATATATAAAGTGTGGACTCTGGCTTCTAAAGCAGTTATTTGATTGAAGAATTCAATACTGTATGAAAAACCTTATGAACTAACTCAATTGAGGAAATTCATTGCCATGACTATCATAGCTGGAGAAGGATAACACTTTCTTCTTTGGATCTCTCTTCATTCTCAGATATGAGAAGGATTTATTTCAGAGGCTTGAACAAACTCTTTTTGGGTCCCATTTGCACGTCTCTTTGCTAAATTTAGTTTTAGGGAGGAAAGTTTGAGGCTGGTATCCCCTATTGTTAAGTAGAAGCATATAATTTGTGACTGAAAGGAATTGTTACTTAGACTGTGCAAGGATAACTGAATAGTCATCCATGGACAATCTCAGCCAAAAAGCTGTAAGCTCTTTGCAACAAGAAAGCCTGCATACCATCCCACTTCAAGTCAGTGAAATGAGATAAGTGCTCCAACACTACAGAGGGTGTTGTGCAAAGGAGTCTTATACGTGCACTTCCGTTTTAAGGATATTCTGCTTCACAGCTCCTTTGCAACAGCAAAGACCTTTTTGCTCAGGTTTCTTCAAGGTTTCTTATCAGCGGAGGCAAAACTGCCTCTTGCCATCAGTAGGACGAGGTTTTGGGACAAGCCCAGGCGCTGGCCTCTTGCCACAGAAAAGGGAGAGGAGGAACAAGGGGCAAAAGTGGGACAGAGCTCCTGGGGCTGGTCCCTGGGGAGCCCTGAGGACACTGCTGCTCTTCAAGCCCAGGGCTAGCTGGATTGTGCACCCTCTGGCCTTTCAAATGCAGCAGCCAACTTGGCTTTCTGGGCTCTGACACAGGCAGTGGGGTCATGGCTGTTTTAATGTCCCAAATTGTGCCTCACTATATAATTGCCTAGTTTGCTTATGCTTAGCTCCAGGCCAAGTGATAACTTCAGAATAGTCACTTACAGCTCTGTGTGTGGCAGGACTAGAGGAGAGAATAAAGTTGTTGGTTTTTTTTTTCCTGACTAACAACTCGTCTGAAAAAAAAAAAACAAAACAACCCTAGTCCTTTGCATTAGGCAATGATTCACAGGGATGCAATGACTACATGGCTGGCTAGCCACCTTAATCATCCCAGCTATAACAGTCTCTGTGTTGCTAAGAGTCATAATAATATTAAAAGTTGTGGTGCCTGCTAAAATCTGTAGAGAACTGCACAAGGGCTGCAGAGCTATGATTTTTTTAGCTGAGTCTGAATCACACCAACCTAAACAAGGAGATGAGAGGCAATATCATGGTGGCTCTTTTGCCACAAGGAGCAACTTTCAGAGTTTTCACACCACAGAAGATGATAATGTTTCAACTTCTGTTTTTGTCCCAAAATGATTTTTTTTTAAACTGAGATTATTTATTGTTACACAAAATAAAATGTTTATTTTGGTTTATTAAACTCCTTGGAAATGCACATGCTGATAGAGATACCAAAACTGCTGTGGTTCTCTGGGAAACCAGATTATGGAAGGGACTAGGCCCTCAAACTACACCTACCATTAAGCAGTGAGCTCACTGCTAGGAAGACGATGTTATCTTCTGAAGAACTGAACCGAAATGAAATATTCTAGCTCAGCTCCATTTAGGTCAATGCAATTGAAGCTACTCATCACCGTTTGATTTTCCCAGTGTGAGTGATTCTCATTTTTTCTGCAGAAAGCTGAATTTCCCATTAAAAATAACCATTCATACGGAAAATTTCCAAGCAACTCTATTTGCAGCTTGTCTGTCTGACCAGAGGATCTGTTAGCATCAGGACTGTGTAAATCATTCTCAGTGAACTTGTTTTGTTCAGTCATGAAATACTAAACTGTATAATGAGCTCATTCTGACCAGTATCTTGCCTTTTTCTCTGTACTTCATTTCCAAACTGATTTCTGTAGCTATTGTCTTGAAAAGTCTGAGAGTTAAAGCCAATAGCTGCAATTACGTCTCTTAAATAGTAGAAAACGCACCTTTCTGATGTCGGTGCTGCACCATGTGCCTGAAG